TACCCAGGCAGGAGTGCAGTGGCTATTCACAGGTGCGATCCCACTACTGATCAGCACGGGAGTTTTGACTTGCTCCATTTCTGACCTGGGCTGGTTCTCCTTAAGTAACCTGGTGGTCCCCCTCTCCGGGAGGCCACCATATTGCTGCTGAACTTAATGTGGACACCAATCAGCATAGCGCACTACAGCCCAGAACTCCTGCGCTCAAGCGATCCTCCCACCTCAGCCTCCTGAGTGGCTGGTACTACAGGCATGCGCAACCATGCCAGGCTGATTTTTGTATTTTTAGTAGAGACGTAGTTTCACCATGTTGGTCAGGCTGGTCTTGAACTCTTGACCTCGTGCTCCGCCTACCTCAGCCTCCCAAAGTGCTGGGACTACAGGCATCAGCCACTGTACCCTGCCAAATATACTTTTAAAATTGCTCAGTGCACCTGTAAATCCAGCTACTCAGAAAGCTGAGGTGGGAAATTGCTGTTGGCCAGAAGTTTGAGACCAGCCTGGGCAGCTTAGTGAGACTCTTGTCTCTTAAAAAAGCAATTAGGCTGGGCACGGTGGTTCACACCTGTTATCCCAGTGCTTTGGGAGGGCAAGGTGGGAGGATTGCTTGAGCCCAGGAGTTTGAGGCTACGGTGAGCTATGATTGTACCACTGCATTCCAGCCTGGATAACAAGGCGAGATCCTGTCTCTTAAAAATGAAAAAAAAAACCTGTTGGGAACCAGCCTAACCCTGTATATGGGTGCCCTGAGTCCCAGTGGCCATGAGGGAGTGAGAGAAGAAATAAGACAGACAGGAGTAGAATTTGACAGCATGGGTCCAGGGGGCCAACACACTGTCTTGTAGGGTGAATGGCAGGGCACTGAACTTTGGGCTCCACGTGCTTTTATTAGGTGCATTATCTTGTTAATCTTGCAGGCCGTGGGGAGGGAGGTTGAGAAGGAAGATGGTTGGGGGAAGAACATGCAGCATTCAATAGCAAATGTGATTCTTCTAAGAAATGCTAACTAAGAACACTGAGTTTTACCACCCGTTGTCTATCCAGGTGCATCTGTGAAGAGTCACAGTGGATAAGGCACCGTAAGGTCTGACACACACAGTGCATCAAGGGGCTTTTATCTCCCGAGCTTTGTGGACACAGAGCAATCAGAATTACTCCATATTCTGAGAACACAGGCAGAGCGTGTGGCATTCTGGTTTTCTTTGCCCTGCAAGGCTTTCCGGCCTCGCAAGCTCCCATCTGCAAAGACCCTCCTGAGTCTTGTGAGCAGAGGCTGCATTCCTTCCCAGAGTTCTTGCACAAGCCCCCCTTTACGAGACTCTTGCGCAGACCCTATGTTGGGAAGAGATCCTGGGACCAAAGCAGTTTTCACTGCTTTGCAACCACAGGGTTCCTTGTTATAAAGCGCTCTCAGATGGTTTTTACTATAGGCCTCCCATTACTGCTTGATCTCTGCTTTTATTTTACTGCATTTTGGAGTTTTCTTAATTCAGTATTTGATCCATGACACAAATCTCAGTGTATAAAAAGCAAAGCAAGCTTGTAATCATTTAACTGTAAGTAACACAGGTTCTGCTACTGACCATCTTTTCCTACAAAAACCATTATTTTTTATTCACTTATATAT